AATAGAGATATCCATACCAAATTCACAAAATGTCAAGAAGAAACACACTGAAAAAATTGAAAAATATATACCTCTAGCAGAAGAAATAAGGCAGATGTGGCACCAGGACATTGTAAAAATTATACCAATAATAGTGTCATCAACAGGACTGATCCCAAGATCATTACATGATAGTCTGAAAGGCCTTGAACTTGCACCAAAACTTTATATACCCATTCAAAAAACAGTTATCCTCCACACATGTAATATTACACGACAAGTCTTAAATACACAGTAAAAAGCGTTGACGCTTGACTTAAGTCCGCGACTACGTTAAATACCGGAAAGCCCGAGATTCAAGAACATAATAATAATAATATCTTTATTGCCCAACAGTTACAAACCAATTATAGGACAATTTTACAATATATATCTATAAATTAGTAATACACTAACCTCTAAATAAAAAATAAATGAAAAAAAACATATCAATGTAAATTAAATCTTAAAAATTAACAGAAGTAAAAAGCACTGAAAGGTGAATGATACAAAAATCAGATACCAAGTACAGATGAACAAAACAAAAAAAATCCAAATTAAACAAACTATAAAAACAAAACACTATATAAACAAAAAAAACTCAAATCACACCGCTGTGCAGCATATTATTAGCTAAAGCAATTATGTGACTTAAGTTATCAAAGAAAATATCACATTTATCAGATATTACGTTATAATTGCTACACATGACATAAACTGGAGATTTAAGCAACAAATTAGTTCTGGCTCTAGCACAATAAAATGTTCTATGCGATCTAGTCGATATAGAAGGAACCAAATAATCTATATGTGCAACAAGCTCAGAACTATCTATCGCATTATGCAACAGCTTATACAGGAAGACTATTGATGCGCACTTTCTTCTCAAATCGAGAGTTTGCAACTGAAAGGTGCTAATTAAATTAATGTAGGGAATACCCCTTTCAGGATACACTCCGCTAACTTTATATGAAACAAATTTCAAAAATCTTCTCTGTACTCTCTCAATAAGCTGCCTGTAACAGGTATACACAGGGTACCAAATCAATGAAGCATATTCCAGTTTAGATCGAATGTATGCTGAGTATAATATTAAAAATGCATTTGAGTCAGTAAAAGACGCACAGTTGCGAACTATAAAGCCGTAAAATTTAAGAGCCTCTCGTACCTTGGTTATAATATGATCACTAAATGAAAAAGACGAATCAAAATAAACTCCAAGATCTTTGATTACACTAAGTCGTTCCAATTCGGTATTATTTATATTATAATTAAAATACTGTACATTCTTTTTTCTGGAAAATGTCACTATCTTACACTTATCAACATTTAACTTTAGTTTATTCCCATCACACCATTCTACAACGCGATCAATCTGTGTCTGCAAGAAACTACAATCCGCTCTATCCGATATACGCAAGAAAATTTTTAAATCATCAGCAAAAAATAGTCTAAAACACTTAAGGATATTATCTAGATCATTAAAAATAATAGAAATAAAAGTGGGCCCAGGTTTGATCCCTGAGGAACTCCTGACGTAGCAATATAGTCAGTCGAACAGTAGCCACTATATGAGACAAATTGCTTTCTTTGAGAGAGATAAGATTTTAAAAATAATAAAGATGGTCTAGTAAAACCCATAGAGTTAAGTTTGTCCAGTAATATAGAATGATTTAGTTTGTCAAATGCTTTGGCAAGGTCCGTATATATAACATCCACCTGCCCATTACTATCAATGCATTCAGATACATATTGCGTAAAACATGCTAAATTCGTAACGGTAGATCTACCCGTCATAAAACCATGTTGGTTACTAGATATTACACCACGTACTGAACTATATATTCGATTATACATAATTATTTCTAGCAGTTTAGCAAAATTTGATAAGATTGAGATGGGACGATAGTTTTCCACGTTATTTTGATTTCCTGATTTCAGAATTGGACATACTCTTGCCTGTTTCCACACCTCTGGAAAGGTGTTTGAATTGACAGCTAAATTAAATATTTTACCTAGTGGGGTTGCTAAAATGCCAATGCAATCCTTCACCAGAAATGCTGGAATTTTGTCAGGACCCGATGTCATCTTATTTTTTAATTTTTTTGCAGCTATGAGTATTTCCTCTTCCGTGATATTAAGAAATGTTATATTAAACTCATTGCTAACCACACACCGATTCCATTTAACATTGTCTTTATCGGGCGGGGTGAAAACACTCTGAAAAAATTTAGCAAAACTATTCACTATTTCGCTTGGACAATCATGTACCTCATCATTAAATTTCATTTGACCGGGTATTCTAGAAGATTTATTCCTCGCGTGGATAAAGCCCCAAAAATGTTGTGGATTTGAAGACACAGAGGTTTCGACTCCGCGAATATAATTTTCGTAGTTAGCTTTGATTAAGACTTAATTTCCTAACTACCTTTCAAAATGCTTTCCCATCAACCTCCAAAAATTTAAACAGGTTGGATCATCCAGAAATTTAGAGCTCATATAAGTCTGTAGCTAAGTATTAGTGTTTACTATCAATGCACAATTTAGGTACAATTAATAAAAAGCTCATTAAACTCATCGGCGGTACCAGTATCCTCATGGGATGAGATGGCATACCAGGATGAATATTCAAAACTCTTAGTGTTAGCCATAAACTCGAGCTGGATGGGTCTTAAGCCGAAGTAAGACCACATAATCCTACCTTTTCATTTCTTAGACTTGAAGTTACCAGCTTTTAATAAGTGCTCTCAACTCTCTAAACCTCTGCAAAAAATAAATCGCTCTTATATTTCTTATACTTGTTATGATAGACAGCTTTTAATTTAATATTTTTAATAATTTCTCGGCATTGTACCACGGTGGATATCGTTTTTTTATGCGATTTGTATAGAGGTACATGAGTGTCCAGAACATCATACAACAGTTCATACACTTGACTGACGGCTCGATCAACACAAGTAACGTCATCCAAGAATGACCAATCAGTATTAAATATTGTTCGGTATATACCAGAATAGTCAGCTTTTTTGAAATTATATGCCTTATAGGACGTATTAAAACTCAAAGCATTACTCTTAACAAACAAATCAGCGATGCATATAATAAGAGCCGGATGGTAGCTAATATCCTCCGATACAAGAGGAGTAAGATCTCTCACAACTGTACAACATAGATTAGAAATAACTAAATCCAACAACCTGCCGGTGCTATTTATTATGGCATTGAACTGTCTAAGATCCATTATGCTCAGCATATTATTAAGACAACAAGATCGTCGGTCATTGTTATTTGCGTGAATAAATCCAGGAACATTAAAGTCGCCCAGTAAAATAACTTTTCCAGACTGAAGACAATCAAGTTGTTCCAATGCCTCGCAAAATGACTCAAACAAATCAATAGCCAAAGCAGGCGGTATGTAGACAACAACAACGTGGAAAGATATGTACAAAATGCTGCACTTACAGATAACAATGTCAATTGTTGGAAAAGTCATATCCAGAGTGGGAACATTAACAATTTCGGTGGTAATAACAGACGTGGTTGCCAATAACACTCCACCTCCAGACTGGGCATCAACAATATTAAATTTTCTGTCCCTTCTAAATACCGTGTAATCAGGCGAAAACAATTCACTGCTCAATATTTCGGGATTTAAGTTAGTCTCTGTAAGAGCGATCAAATCGAACCCACCAGCACTATGTCCCGTATAAAATTCCTCAACCTTAGACCGAAGACCACGCACGTTTTGATAATAACAGCTGACTTTGTAACTGTTGGCATTTAGTTTTCCGATACAATTTTTGGTATACCATTTATATATCTAATTTTTAAATTGGTTTCACCGGAATTTATACGTTCAGTCAACTGTTCTTTAATTTTCTTATAATAATCTATTTGCCGCGGTGTTCGATCAAATGACAGAGAAATCTTCTTATGATATGGGGTGCCTTGCAATGCTTTGGCATTCTTAATTACATCGATTACCTCTCTCTCGTCCTTGAACACAAGTTTGATAGGGCGATTTCGATCGTTACTGTGCCGACCAATACGAACATGCTTCACACTGCTCAGATCCATAGACGGTCTCACCATCCTCACAATTTCTTCTGCTGCCTGTTTGTCGCTATCGAACCTGTCATTGGCAGGTGCAGCCTGATCCTGCTCGTTTACCCCAAATATTAATAAGTGTCGTTTACGTTTGGAGCGTTCACTCATTTCCAATAATACTTCTTCGAAAGTGTCTGTTGAGAGATCTTCGAGAGTGGCTGAAAGAGATCTGCCAGATCTGAAAATATGGGCACTTATTAAAGACTCACCCTATATATTCTATAAAACTAAGCACATTCTACATCATTATAATGTTTACAAAAGGATGATATATTTTAACAAAGGAGTATTAGAAATTTACAACTTTGTCATGAGGCTTACTTAGTTCATTATTAATTAGAGTACCTGTTCGTATTCATAAATAAACATTATTTTCCATTATACTACACGAACAACACCCTTACTTAATTCATAAACCGGGTGAAATTAAATTATATAACATTAATAAAACCCTTCAACAAGTTTGTATTTCGAATAATAGAACTTATTGAATAATAGAGTAAGCTATATATGGATACGAAAATTTTCATTATTTTATTATAGTTGGAATAGTTTGTGTGCATGTTGTTAATCTGGGATTCACCGATATAATTCTATTTTCAACAAACGTGAGGTAAACTATAATTATAACTTCAAATTCTGACTACGAGTACGTTTTGTACGTTTTATTATAGCGTTCTAAAAACTTTTAGATTTTAAGGACAGTAATAACAAATCTATTTCATTTGTTTTAGCAAAATTCAGACATTACACTCCGACTGAGCAATGTGTTTTTTCCTATTTAGTTTTATACTTCGGATATCAGTAATGACTTCTGTTTTCTTTAGGAAATATTTAAAACCTTTATTTGTATTTTTTTTCTTCTTTTCTTACAGTATTTCGACAAGGAGATACAGGGAAATGTTGGTATGCTGTAATGTCGGGTACCTTGGAAGTGCGGGTGGCTCAACCAGAAACAGACACAAAGGTAACTAAGAATACTTATATGAAATACAAATCATATTTTATAGATTATGGTAGATTTATAGAGAAACGGTATACAGGGTGTACCAGGCTGTGCATGCATTAGAAGTTTCTAGAGAGTCTAGAGATTCACAATGGAGATCTATCAATTGAAAATATTTTCACTATGGCGGCACTTCCCGACCTACCGAAAGTTGACAGCAATTTTCTTATTTTAAAGGGGAACACCCATTTTTTATTACATACTTAAATTCTCTGTCAAATTTTATGAATTTTTATCAACACAGGCTCTATACCTAACATTAACTGTTTTTGAAAAAAAAACCCTCGATATATTTCTACTTAATTGGATAGAAATTGACACTCTGAATAGAGTGACATATCATATGTCAACTTTTAATATTTTCGTATATGGTTTATTTGAAATTGTATAATGGGGTTTATAACGACAATTTGACACGAAATACGAAGTGTGTGGTACCAAATTATTCGTAAAGAAATGCTTTTTCCAAATATGCTAATGAGCCACCCCGTTCCATTTGAAAAAAATGAGATACGATTAAAAATACGTTTTGGGCATTTTTTCACCGGCCAGGACAAGGCACAAAAAACATTAGACGATCAAATCTATTTTTCCAAGACTCCTGATTAAAAATTAGTGTTTTTAACACAGCCATGGCATTCCAGACTGAAATTTAAAATCTCGTTTAAAATAGTACATTTTTTTAACGAAGTGACAAAATTTGACATATGATATGTCATTCTATTCAGAGTGTCATTTTCTATCAAATAAAGTAGACATATGTAAAAGTAGTAATCATTTCCGGTGAAACAGGAAGTTACCAAAAACAATTTAATACGTCAATCAATACTAATTTATGTCATACGCTAACCAAACCAAACATACCAAATCTCGTTTTTTTATCTGAAAAAAAAATTAAAAAGTTATAGGGGTGACCCACTTTCGAGACCGCATCCGGTATATAACTTTAATCCTTTCACAGAGGTTACATTTAACGACAAGTTTCTTTAACATATCCGAATAGTCATCTCAGGAGACCATTTACAAAACCCCTTTCTACTGTATCCAAATAGTAGATTCCCAACTTGACTGACACTGTTTGCCTTACATTTCGAGACTGAGAATGTATTCGATCCAACAAAGACCGAAAGTCGAGTTTCCTAATTCCATTTTAGATTGATTGCCTTCGGCTACCTACCTACGTATTTCACTCATTTCTTTTGTGTCATTTGCCTCGGTCTCTTTCTTTTCGATCAGAGTTTGTTTAGGACAGGCTTGTTAAATTTAAAACAAAGGTAGGGGAATAAGGGCACAGACAATACGTATATACATTGAGTTGTTATTCAAAAATTAATAGCTGTTTATTTTCTCCATTTTGGCGAAAAAAAGCTGTTTTAATAAATACTAGCTGACCCTAACTTCCTATCGCCTAAGAGTGAGAGTTTTTAACAAAAAAATTGACTTAAAAAACAGTGTGTGACCTATGGGCTTGTATTTGAAGTGAAACTTCTTACTAGCAGCTATTAAATTGAAGGATTTGAAGGACATCAATCCGTGGACACACTGTATATACGTGTAGTTAGTCATCTACTTTACAGACCGCTATTTTGCACATTATTATACAGAATATACAATTAAAATAAAGTGTCATACATATTAACGTGCAGCCTGTGAAGCACTGTGCATTAACATACTCCATTTTGGTTCATAGATGCACGCGAAATTATCAGCGTTTGACATGATTCCCCGGTGTAAAATATTGCGCTCTCTGTGTACATACTTATGCGTTATATTATACGTTATGAATATGTTATATTTATATTCAGCAGAGGTAAATACATTTTGCTGTTGCAGTCGCAGCATAATGAAGCCATTTATTTGAATATCAAAGAAATAGTTAATATATGCAGGGTGCTAAAACATCAAAATATACATTTTGTATAAAATGTAAAAATGAAAAATCTAATGTTTAACTAAAAATGCGCTAAACAAAAAATTATCATAGATTGTGAAGGATCTTTTATTTCTTTTTAGAGTCGTAGATAGAATTTTTGAGTCTTTATTTGAAATTTTGTTGATATTATCCCAGATTATAAACTTTGTTTTTTCTTTATTGTTTTTCGTGGTTCGAATTTTCGGAGTCGCGCAATAGTTAGGTTACTAGTTTGCGCACATAGCACGCCCACTTATGGCCTCTAACATTGTGCACAGCAGCGCCTGACCGGCCCAGTTATTAGAGAGATATCGGAAAACCGAATAGCGTCATGCAGTATTTACGCGTACCTTATTTTGACAGTTACGATATGCGCGAGTCAATTTTTAACGCAACGCCCGCTAATTAACGTTACCGCCTGACGTAATTTGCGGGCAATAATTTTACCAAGCGCTATTTCTAAAAAACCGTTTAAAAATTGCTTAAATGGGCATGTGAGGGTATTTGACAACCGGGGCCGGCCGGCGAGATCTTTTATTTTAGGTTAGGTTTGAATTGTTTTGAATCATTACTTTAGTTTTATTAGGTAATTTGATATTTAAGTAGCTGGGATTAGTTTTAATTAAATAAATATGGTTCAAAATATGGATTCCACCTCTTCCAATATTAAAGAACCTATAAAGAGGCTTAGGTTTACAGCAGATAACGACTTAGCCCTTCTAAAAGAATTTGTTGTCCTAAACCCACTGGCAGACGTTGAACAATAAAGCACTGAAAATAAGAACTTTAGTCCTTTAGTTTTAAAATGCCTAGTAAACAAAACAATTTCAAAATTTTAAATTCAAAGTTAGGTTAAGTTTAAATAGCGGACGCGACGCGAACAGAATTCTTTCCGATCCGATAACTATAAATGAAGAGAGTTAATACGACCCCACGTAAAGGAAATAACACCTGGCGTTATTAAGGTCCATGCACGCTATTTGGTTTACCGATATCTCCCTATTACGCTGTTTATTGTTATTTTACGCGAGTTTATTTTTGCGCACACGAAATTTTACTCGTTTGCTCATCGTCATAAAAAACAATTTTCGTACAACGAAATAGGAATAAGATTTTTATCTGTATACATATAGTATACCTAATCTGTGATATTAGTTTAAATAGATATTTATTTGTTAATAAAAAATGTTTAAAACGTACCTTTATTACATTTTTTGAAAATGGTATTTTACATCAAAATAAACCACTAATTCACCATCATCAGCAGATTATTTAGAGCTTTAATTGTCCAGTGTAAAAGTAAAGTATTTTGGTGTATTATGGTGAATTAATGTTTTATTTTGCTGTTGTCACACCAAAAGTTCCAATCCTCAACTGTAATGATTTATAAATAATTGAATTAACAATTGACCAATGGTTCATTAAGAAAAATTATTTGAGTGTCAATTTATCTAAAAATATACAGGATGGCACACCTCATTCGCATTAATTATTCGGTTAATTATACAAAAACGGAAAGATGTAGAAACAAAATATTTTATGGGTATATGTGGGAAGAGAATGTGCATAATATAAAAAATTATTTTGAAATGTACAGGGTGTTTCGGAACTAAAACCCATTGCAATTATTTTTTCTTTCATTTTTTGATTCTAGGACATAAGATAGGGCATTTATTATAAGAGTTTAATATGTTTAAAAGCTTTAGTTTTTGAGATATTTAAAGATATTTAAATATGCATGCTATAATAAAAAAGTTTGTCAACACCATGTACAGGATGGGTCAAATTCGACGCTTTTAAATGGAAACACCCTTTTCTATAGGAGATAGACGAAAACTAATATCGGTGTCTGGAGCTCAATTTTTGACACCATCTATATTTTTAATTAACTGAAAAGAAAAAGAAATTACCTTTCCAAAAATATAGCACACTTGATATTTTGTTATAATCTCCTTCGAAATACAGAATTTTTAAAAGTTCGCCACTTTTAACTAGTAGGTTTTGGACCCCTTATTGATGATATGCCCTTAATGGAACTAGAAAACATATTTTCCCAGCAAGACGACGCACCACCTAAGAACGCTGAAGTTATCAGCAAATTTTTGCAGCCAATTTCAAGAATAATTGAATAGCTAACCAAGATCCCAGCTGGGATCCCAAGTTGGCCGTCGAGGCCGCCTAACTTAGTGCCCATGGATCTAATCCTATGGATATATTTGCGGAAGAACAAAGGTTCTTTATTCTTCCGTATAATCTACACAAGAATTAGAAATACTTAGCAGTTATGAGAAGGTATCTTTCACCCCCACTGAGGTAATGAATTCCGCGAGAAATGTTTAAAAACTGCCCCGTCTGTCCATAACAGAAGACGGTCGATATGTCGAACACCTGTAGCAAAATCTCATGTCTTGGTTTGCTAATTTATTTTTATTGTCATGAGATATAGTTTAAATGTGTTGATGTTGGTTAAATATATTTTAAATTTTTATAAAACTCTGCATCTCTCATAGCAAATATTATTTTCGTTTTAATTGATGCTCACAGCTAGAATTTTTTTTGCATTACAGCCGGTGCTGTTCAAAGCCTGCTTATTTAAAGCGGGCTAATTTTTATATACTCTATGTCTCGAAGAGGAATCTAGCAAAATATCAAGTGTTTTATATTTTTGGAAAGGTAATTTTAAATTTTTTTCAATAAACTAAAAATATACAGCATGGCCCATATAAAAAATCAAATTTCTTGTTGATAATTCTTAAATTATTAATTTTAAAAAAATTATACTTAAACCATTTAATTCTACGTAACAAAGTGTTTTGGAAATGTTTTCATAAAAACAAAATTTTCCATAGCAAAGAAGATATAGCGATTTGTTAAAAATGCATATTTTTGAAAAACACCCTGTAACTCCGAAACGGTAACAGATATCGATATGCGGTTTTCACCATCATGTTTTCTCATCTCACCATCTCCTATAGAAAAGGGTTAGGTTAGGTTTCCATTTAAAAGCGTCGGATTTGACCCACCCTGTACATTTCATTTCAGAATTAAT